ATTTTATTAATTTGCTGCATTTATTTTATCTTCTAAACAAATCCCTGTTTTTTATTTCCAAAAAGTTTTCATTCAAAAGAGAAAATCTGCATTTTGTTTCCAATTTGCCATTTAAAAAATATGAATTTAAACGTAATGTTGCACATTATGATACATGAACAATTCTGATCCATTGTTTAGACGTTTTTTTTCTTATTAGTCAGCTCTTTATTGTTCTGAATGAAAAAGACAGAAAACAGCAAAACAGTAAAACAGTTTTTACTTCTTGTCCTGAGTAAAACTACGACTCTCAGTTTTTTAAACATTTAGCTGCGGAACTAACTTTTCGAGGAAAAAGACATTTTAAAAAAGTGTTATAAAATATGCTCACCCTGTTCTACAGTATAATTTTCACAACCTTTTTGAGTCTGCAGCTTCACCTCGCTGAGTTGTGGGTGTTGCGCTTTTTTCAGTCCCCTTCTGCACAAAAGAGTTCCGATTTAGTACCTGCTTCAAGTCGGACTCKATTCTTTGCCGGACTTTAACATGTTGGGGGCATTTAGGTAACAGGCGTTGTTACTCAAATTATAAATGTGTATATATATTTAACTTTTTATGTGGAGGATAAGATGGGTTTATTGCGACACGTTGTCTGCGCCATGTCCGGAGGTGTCGACAGCTCCGTGGCGGCGCTGATTCTGAAGAAACGAGGTGAGAAAAATGGCCCAGAAACACACCTGGGCTCACATTTTAAAGATTTAAAGTACCGCCGAATTGTTAAAAACTTTATTTTAGTTCAAACAGAAGGTCTCCCAAGCACAGAAATGTGGTTTTAACGAAATTTAAGATATTTGTTCTCAAATGCGCTTGTTTTAGTGGTAAATCTGGTGTGTTCTTTAAAGGTTACAAAGTGACTGGAGTGTACATGAAGAACTGGGACTCCCTGGATGAGATTGGGGTCTGCACCTCAGAGAAGGACTGTGAAGACGCCTATAGAGTGTGTCGGATCCTGGACATCCCCTTTCATCAGGTGTCTTTTGTCAAAGAATACTGGCATCATGTTTTCAGGTAAACTGAGACCCTGGAATCAGTTATTAATAAATATTAAACTGAGCCCCTGTAATCAGTTATTAATGTTAAATATTATTAAACTGAGCCCCTTGAATCAGTTATTAATGAATATTAAACTGAGCCCCTTGAATCAGTTATTAATAAATATTAAACTGAGCCCCTTTAATCAGTTATTAATGATAAATATTATTAAACTGAGCCCCTTGAATCAGTTATTAATGATAAATATTATTAAACTGAGCCCCTTGAATCAGTTATTAATGTTAAATATTATTAAACTGAGCCCCTTGAATCAGTTATTAACGATAAACATTAAAAGTGGTGTAAATGTGTCCATATGTTGGCAGTTATCTGTTGAAAGAGTATGAGGAGGGAAGGACTGCAAACCCTGATGTTCTGTGCAATAAACACATTAAATTTGACCATTTCTACACACATGCTTTCAACACTCTGGGTAAGAAGTCATTCATTTATCTTTTCTTACATTTAGAGTTTTCTCTTAATAAAAAGTTTGATAATTTGTTTTTTGCTTCTAGTGAATTAAAAGTAATTGAATACGTTAAAAAAACTKATTTTAATGTTTTTTTCCCCTATGGAAACAGCAGTTTTTTGGTGACCCCAGCTACACAAACAGTAACAGCTTCATTTTGTTACGCACTCATAAATAAGTCCATCATTGTGTTCTGCCGGGTCGTTTCAGGTGCCGATGCCGTAGCAACGGGTCACTACGCTCGGACATCCCAGGAAGACGAAGAGGTTTTCCAGCAGTCGTACTCGCCGCCGTCCACCTCGCTGAACGGAGACCGGTTTGAGATCAGAAACCGTGAGCGTTTGACTCGTTGAGTCACTTTGTTTCGCTGTAAAACTTTAGCTTGTGAAGATACAGGTTTACATTTTAGCTTTACGCTACGGTTGTACCACAGTTAGATTTTAGCTACAAGTATCTTACAGTTAGACTTTAGCTATTATGTTGCTACTTTTAGCTTTTAGTTACAGTTTTGCTAATTCTAGCCTTCAGTTACTGTTTTGTTATTAATTTGTAGCTAAGGTTTTAGCTCATTTCAATGTTTTGCAGAGATTTTAGTAATTTAACAGGCAAAATAGTTTTGTCTAATTAAGTTATATCTTTGCCATAGATGGCTTTTAAATATTGTTTGACTACACTTAGCTTTTAGCTGCATTTTACTAAGTGTAGCGGACAACAGTTTGACTAGTTTTAGTTTTTAACTAAAGTATTTATCATTTTTCTAATAGTTTTTTTTTTTTTAAGGTTATTTCAGATAAATTTTAGCTCATTTTAGTTGTTTTGGCTTTCGGAGCTCAGTTTCTCTTGTTTTGTTCTTATTGATGTGAAAGTTTCGGCTGATTTAGCTGYTAGTTGTGCTTGTCATCCTCGTCTCCAGCTGTGAAGCTCTACAGAGCAGCCGATCTGGTGAAAAGCCAGACCCTCTTCCTGAGCCAGATCCACCAGAACGCCCTCCGAAAGACCCTGTTCCCGCTCGCCGGACTCACCAAAGACTTTGTGAAGAAGATGGCCGCCGAGGCCGGCTTTCACCACGTGCTGATGAAGAAAGAGGTCTGGAAATCAAAAACAAATAAATAAAAATAACAGCTAAAGTTAATTGTCACGCAGCTMGATTTGTTAATTTTTTTCAGAGCATGGGCATCTGCTTCATCGGATTGAGGAAGTTTGAAAGCTTCATCCTGGAGGTGAGATCCTGAACTTTTAGCTGTGATTCGATAAAGAAACATTTCCACCGTTTTGACTCGTGTTTTCAGTATCTGGAGCCCAAACCTGGGAAGTTCATTTCCATCGAGGACGGGAGAGTGATGGGATCTCACAAAGGTGCGTTTGTTTTTAGCTCTTTGTGTTTAACAGCTGAAGACTTCAGTCTTGGTGACTCATGTGTCTCTGGTGTGGTCCAGGTTGGTTCACCTATACATTGGGTCAGAGGGCGCGGATACAAGGGCAGAAGGACACCTGGTTCGTGGTGGACAAAGACATTGCTACTGGAGATGTGTTGGTGGTGAGATTTTTGTTTCTTAAAGGGGACCTATTATGCAAAATTCACTTTTTAAAGGTTTTTTTACTCAACTTTGGGAATGTACTTCTTAAAAAAAC